GAGCATGTTTTATAGGAGTTAATAGGCCCTTTGATTGATTGAACGACCGTCGTTCAATCACGTAACCGTTTGCGCCGACGCATCATGTGTAATAACTCGGACATCATGTTCGCCCGGTGTAACATTGGCCGAGCTTCCTGAACGNGATGACATAAAGCTGTGCCTCGTTGTGCCTGGATTGCGGTCACGTAAGTTTGGATCACCTCATAAAGGTAGAAGAAAGGATAGTTAGAAACGAGCTTGCCGAACACCTTGCGAGAAAAGGAATAATAACCGAAAAGCGGCATGGCTTCGATCGGAGTTAATCCTGCTTGAATAATCTGCTTTCGTACCTGAATGACGTCATGGGATGACTTGACAGGGGAGAACGAGTCGAGGTATGCTACCTGAATGTCAGGAGAGCTTCCGGTTTGGTGAACCATGACTTCCAAGCTGGACTGTCTCAGAGTGGCTGGGGGATTAGTAGATTGGTCGAGAGGGTACCTACGAAACAGGATTTTCAACGTGAAAGCAGATGTTGGAATATCAGGACCCGCTGAAGCTTGCAGTGGGGTCCCCCAAAGGTCAGTATTTGGAACTTTTCTGTGCCTCGTGTACATCACTGATATGGTTTGTTATCTGCACTCTCCGTTCTATCTGATTGCCTCAGACGTTATAATCGTGTAACGGCGAGATTCACTACATTCACAAGAGGACCTGAACAGGATTCAGGAGTGGACAGGTCAAATAAAACTCCCGTTGAATCTGAGCAATTGTAAGCATTTACTCTCAGTTGGTACGAATATCTAAAGGCGAGACACGAACCCGGAAAGCCGTCGTCCTGTAACGAGAGGCGAGGGACTTCGAAACTTGGGAATCATTATTGACGAGAACTTAAACGGAGGCCATGGTGTCTGGCAGCTGCAGCCAAAGGCAATAGGGCGATCCATCAGCTTATGAGGGCCTCTCGAAATGCAAACGTGATGGTTCCTATATACAAGATTCTTGTGAGGTAACATCTAAGGTGCTGCGTTTAGGTCTGGTCACCTTACTTGGTGAAAGACGTCAAGGTCCTGGAGGCGGTACAACGAAGGTTCACGAGGGCCATAGACGGTATGAGGGGTCTTGAGAACAGCGAGAGGCTCAGGAGGTGAAACCTGTTCTCCCTCAAGCGAAAGCATTTGCGAAGGGACCTCATAGAAGCTTTCAAGCAGCTGACCGGCGCTTTGGTAACAGAAAAGCCGCTGCTTAACCTCTGTCACAACACCAACCCTAAGGGAAACGGATTCAAACTGGAAAAGCCCAGTGCAACAAGGTGTATTCGAGCACAGTTCTTTTCGCATCAGGTGATCAATGTGTGAAACCGGTCACCACAGCAAGTGGATGTGGCTGGTAGCCTTGGGGCTATTAAGCACCAGCTGGACGAGGCATGGAGTTGTATATTTCCCTACGAGGAATAGGATTAACAATCTGGGAACGCTGTACTCAGAATCCTCAATAGATTGTCCTTGCTTCTATCTATACTACACATGTTCACTCTGCTAGCATCCGTTTTTCCTACACTTGAAGACAGACAAATGCAACGGGAATACGAAACTGTCGAAGCAAAGTGAGACCCCGTGGATCACAATGCAAGAAACTGGACTCAATTTGGCTCGATTCACAAGTGCTGGGACCTGACTGGACCTGAACTGAATGAAGTTAAGTAATTAAGAAATGCCTGCACTTACTCCAAGATGAATTCGCTCCGTTAAAACCCATAAGGAACCTAACGAAACCGATCTGGTGGCTTGCGGCGATAGACAAGGCCATCAGTCGTAGAAACCGAAGTTGGCACCAGTACAAAATTTCTGGGAGCCGTCTTGCTTGGACGAGCTACACCAGAACGCAGCGGTCGACACGGTGCGAATGGCCAAACGCAACTACGAGTTCAGGCTGACCAGATGCGCCAAGGACAGCTCTAAGAAATATTACCGGTATTTACAATCCCAAAGGGAACTCAGGGATGGCACGAGGCCGCCGAAGACCGAAGGGCGTTCCGTTGCTACAGACGACAGCAGCAAAGCGGGCACACTAAGTCTCTACTTCGGCAGTGTTCATCGTCCTGATAACGGTGCACCCATAGTCTGGGACCCAGCAACTCCTCCAGTAGTTATAGACGATTTGCATCTAACGGAGGATATGGTTATGAACCATCTACAGAGCTTAACTATGAACAAATCGGCAGGACCTGACGGTATTCATTCAGCCATTGTGAAACAGGCGGGCATCTTAGCTCGACCACTGTGTCAGTTATTTAAGCTAAGTATAGAACAAGGTACTCCATCACTGGACTGAAAAACAGCCGCCGTGGTAGCCATACATAAAGGAGGGCCCAGGTCAGAAGTAAGCAACTACAGGCCGGTAAGCCTGACTAGCATTCTTTGCAAGGTGCTGGAAAGGATCATCAGGGCCCATATGCGTATGCACTTAGTGGATCATCCTATGCTGTATCCTGCTCAGGATGGATTCCTGAAAAGCAGGTCGTCTCACCTACCTCTTGAACTTCTCAGATTAAGTAACTTGCAGGTTCGATGAAGACAAAAGCGTAAAGGTGTGCTACCTTGACTTCAGTAAGGTGTTCGACTCTGTGAATCATCGCCTACTTTTGATCAAGTTGAAATCTGTCGACATAGAGTGGCAGATATATAGCTGGATATCTGATTTCTTAAGTGGGCGATCTTTCTACGTAGGAGTAGATAGTTTCAATTGCAGACTGAGACACATCACTAGTGGAGTACCTCAAGGATCTGTATTGAGACCCATCTTATTCTTGCTGTTTACAAATAACCTAGCCTTAACGCTGCAGTCGCCTAGCTTTTTCTTTGCGGATGATGTAAAGTTCGTAGGGTCAAAGAGGCGTGAGGATCTGATCAGGGACATTGCTGCAGTCTTAAGCTGGACCCTAAAGTGAGACTTACCACTGAATGCTGGCAAAATACCCCTGCTGTCACGGGCCGTAGAGGGTATCACAGTTTGCCGCCATTTAGTTCCCTTCACTATGAGGTGGCGAAAAACGTGAAAGACCAAGGAATCTTGGTAACCGCTGATGTTAGGTGGTCGGATAATTGTGCCAGAGCGGCACAGTAAGCTAGAGGTGAGTTATTTAGAATAAGGTTAGCGTTGTCATGCCTTAAACGTGAGGTATTCATACCTGTGTACAAGGCTATAGTAAGGCCCCACTCAGTGAATTGTGTCCAGGCATGTTCACTCTTCTTCAAAGAGGATGCCGCCAGTTTAGAGCGCATTCAACCGCTGGCAACGGGAATGTCTGAGGGTAAGCGTGACAAAGATTACAAGCAAAGGTTTCAGGACCCGAACTAATCTCTTTAGAAAAGAGGAGGCTCAGATGAGAGATGATAGAAAAATTTAAGATAGTGAAAGTTTAATTGGTTTTAGACTAGAAACCATAATGCTGGAAGCACTGGATTCCCGTACAAGCGGACAAGAAATAAACTAGCCAAGGCCCGGTCTCAATTGATCGCCCGATAATACTCTTTCAGCAAAAGTGTAGTAAACATATGGAACAGACTGTTTGTGGAGTTAATGGAACTGCAGACCGTGCTAACATTGAACATGGCCCTGGACGTACGGTTGTTTGAACTTGTTCATGAAGTGGAGGAGCCGTCCACGCGGGTTGCCTGGTCGATAAAAAAAACTGGCCGGGGCAAACCAGAAAAAAGACCCGGCCTGCTAAAACCCGAAGTGCGTTCGACGGTGGAATGGAAGTGGCCTCTTCCCCCCACACACCCCACTCC